TTTTTTTTTTTTTTTTTTTTTTTTTTTTTTTTTTTTTTTTTTTTTTTTTTTTTTTTTTTTTTTTTTTTTTTTTTTTTTTTTTTTTTTTTTTTTTTTTTTTTTTTTTTTTTTTTTTTTTTTTTTTTTTTTTTTTTTTTTTTTTTTTTTTTTTTTTTTTTTTACTCTTCCTGTGGCTTTGCGTGGAACTCATAAATCAAGGCATTTGGTTTTGATCTTTCTGTGCTTCAAGTGACTTAAATTTCTTGGTGAAAAGCACAGAGTAGTGGTTCTGTATGAGCAAGTGCCATGATTTTAAAAAGAACCATGACAAATTTGAGGCAAAATGTTAGCTGAAGGCAGGGATCCCTGCTGTGAGCACTCAGTGGTACTTGGAGAGCTGGTACTCAGACCTCTTCATCCTATCTGAGCTCCTTCCAACTCCATGTCCCAATTCCTGGAGCATCAAAATACAGATCCTCCTGGTCCGTACTTCTCCGGAGTTTTTCTGCAGCTGAGCCGTGGAGAGGATTTATTTTTGCCTTTTAGAAACTGAGTATACAGTGACCTTTTTGCACCAAGGGCACGGGGATGGGTCATCCTCCCTGCGATCTGTGAAGATCTTGTCTGCTCCCGTGTCCCTGTCACCGGAGGCATCGCTGGCAGGACAGGGAGAAGCATCTCCTGAGTGACAGCCCTGCTGAGCGTGCAGGACCAGCTCCTGCGCAAACATCATTTTCACCACTATCATCATTTTCTCTTGTCTCTCTTGACGCTTGATACTCTGTTTTCTCAGTTTGTATTTCAGTCTCGTGCAGCTTGCCGTGGCGTAGCTGTGGTGGCAGTTTGACAGGTAAAACCTTGGAGCCGGCAGCCCGGGGAGATCCACGGGATCAGCGCGTTTGGGGGTTTAGGTTTGGGGTTTCCTGCAAGGATCTGGTGTTAGGAAACAAGCCTGTGCCTGGGATATCATCCAGGATTTGTTATCTACTGATCTGAGGGAGGGCTGCCTGTTTCCAGAGCAGTTTGGCAGCTTTTACATTGGGCTGGTGTGTTGGCAGATAGGGACAGTTTTTTTAATTACTTTTTTTTTCTTTAGTTTAATTTTTTGCCTTTTCTTCTGAACGAAATAGGTGGGCCAGCATCCCTCTTGGCCCTGCAGGAGTAGCATGGCTCAGGGTAACTGGGATATTTTAGTTGAGATCCACCCTTCAGTTTCCAAAGGTCAGGCACTCCATCCATCCTCCCTCTTGTGACATTTTAAATGGTTTCCAGAGCTATTCTGCAGGCTGGAATGATGGCACCATGCTCTCTGCTAGTCCCCAGTCCTGATTCTGGCATCATTTGTGCTGAACTGTTTTGTGTTAGTAATATTATTTAAACCTGCATAAATGCCTTTTTTTTTTTTCTTCAGGTCTTGGTGTTTTGGGTTACATTCTGAGCTTTTGGCTAAGAACAGTTCCAGTTTTTAATAGTTGACAGGGCTTGTATCATAACTTAAAAGAAAAGTAAGGGTTTTTTAAAAACATTTTTTGAATTTCGTTGAGTGTCCCCTATCAGACTAAACAATAGTGCATATTACACAGTGTGAAAATAATGCAAAGTGCCCTGTCTTCGTAATGGAACAGGCAGTAAAAACAAACAAAGCCTTTGGGATGACTTGCAAAGTGGAACAGATGCCCTTACAATTGCAAGGCATTTGAATAAGGAATCAGTTTTGCATGGTTTGCTAATCCTTCAGTAAAGAGTTCATTGTCTTGGATTATACATCTGTAATTTTGGAACCCTGAAGTCAGTGCCTCAGTACAATTAGGTTAGGAAGAGACTGAATTTTCTTCATATCCTTAATCTCAGTGGCTTGTTTTTTAAAGGGAAAACCTCAGCTCTGGGTTTTTCATTTAGTTATTAACAAAAAGCCTTTGAGAAAGAAGCTGCCTAAAATCCAGCCACTCCCTCAACACAAACAAAGCTGTGCAGATACTGTGTACTTTCAAAAAAACCCAACTTTGATGTTCAACCTGTCTTATTCCAGTGATGCAGATCCTGCACTAAGTGGGTGTTAGTCCAAACTGATGACAGACACAGATGTCTCGGGGTTTTTTTGATGCCTAAGAGAGAGGAGAGTTACCTCCCAAACAGGCTGAACTGGACAGGTGAGGACCTGGGCCCCACAATAGCTGTGAAAACGCTTTTCTTAAGAATAGCAAGGAACATGGCCATCCTCCTGCTTTCCCAAAGGTGCAGCTAGAACTCAGAATTTAAATGGCAGGGATACTGTTGGGTGCTCCTGGGGCTTGGACTTGCAGAGGAGCAATTCCCTGGAGCCTTGTGGGAAGCCAGGGATGGCTGGAGGAGAGGTGGAGAGAGATGGGTGGCAGGAGATACATAAATGATTCCAAAAGCATCGAGCTGAGGAAAGGTTTTCCTGGTCACTACTGGGTTTGTTAATGAGCCCATCTTTAAAAGCAGAGGCAGCTGAGTCCTTTCTGCAGGACCAGTCAGGAGCATGGCTGTCTTTCCAGCTGATGGCAGTTCCAGAGCAGTCCAGCCCACCATCATCTTGTTCTGGACTTACTAGAGAGCTGGAGAGGGACTTTTCACAAAGGCATGTAGTGCTAAAACAAGGGGGAATGGCTTTACTCTGAAAGAGGGCAGGGTTAGGTTAGATATAAGGCAGAAATTCTTCACTGCAAGTGTGATGAAGCACTGACACAGGTTGCCCAGGGAAGCTGTAGCTGCCCCATTCCTGGAAGTGTCCAAAGCCAGGTTGGAGAGAGTCCTGAGCCACCTGGTCTAGTGGAAGATGCCTCTGCCCACAGTGTTGGAACTAGATGATCTTTATGGTTCCTTAGAACCCAAAGGGTTCTGTGACTCTGTGATGCAGCTTTGCTGTTGAATGCCCTGTTAGGATGTGGTGCCTGAACTAACTCCTTCTCCCCCAGGACGGCCACACAGCTCCCCTGCACAGTGCAGGGACAGATGGGGGACGTGTAGCACAACCCCAGGGGAGCTCATCCCCAGGGAGCCAGGACAGGGAGGAAAAGTCTGCAGTGTGGCTGAATTTGGGGACACTGTTGTCTCCAAGCTGAGTGTCCCCTTTGCTGGTGCCTGGGGAAGGCACTGAGGGGCAGGACGCCTGATGGGGCTTTGGCAGCCACCGGTCCAGCCCAGGCTTTGTTCTCTCCCTGTCCTGAGGGTGAAAGAAAAATAAGTCTGATGCAAAACAAAGAATTATGTCCTTCTCTTTTCCCTGGTATGCATTTTTCCTTAAACAATGAAGTGACTAATATAGAGTATCTTCTTAATGTGCTCTGGTTGTGGTTGAGAGGAGCAGCAGCAAGCCTGGCTGCATGAGCATGTCTGGAGGCTCTGCTGCCTGCACAGCAGGGACTCAGAGGATCACGGAATCAGTTCTTTCTGAAGAAAATCAGTTAGTTGTTTGCTTACTGGGAGGGGGTGGCTTGCTTTGTTGTTGTTAGGCTGTCTTCTGCTGGTACCCCAGCAGAATGTTGTGTGTTAGTTTTATGTGCCAATACCAAACTTGCTTAGCAATGTTATCCAGTGTTTTGTTAACTTTTGTGTAGTCTGTGTGCACTGTAGAGTCCTCCCTGTCACCTACTGTCTGCTGTTATTAATCAGCCTGTTTCCAAACAGAGATCTGAGCTGACAAATGCTTTTATACATGTACCATAGCTGTATTATCCCATGTTCTTGCGCCTTTTTTTTTTTTTTTTTTTTTTTTTTTTTTTTTTTTTTTTTTTTTTTTTTTTTTTTTTTTTTTTTTTTTT